TGTGTTTTAAAGACCAGGTGTTCCCTCGGCTGTTTCCCAACCAGACATCGTAGCCAGCATCTGCAAGGATGAAGCCCAAGCTGTTGTTGGGCAGGTTGGAAATCCACTGAATAGAATCTGACAGAAGACCATGATGTAGCAAGACTGCAGCCTTCTTGCCTAAAACAGAAGAGATTTTCTTAGGCTTTAGTAGTAATAGGTAATATGTAGTTAAAACTGAGGTGCAGAAATTGATTTAGCAGGAGGGTTTTAACCAATAGACAGAATTCAGGCTGCAATCTAGGCTGAAAGACTGGGTGCCCTTACTGAGATGGAAAGGTATGGAACTTGCCATTGCATATGCAAAGGGGAAAGATGGGGAATCCATGTAAGGGTTGGCTCCCAGACCTTCCTTATATCCTATGTGTCATACCAGAATTTCGGCTGTTCCTCCCAGCAGGAATTCTGTACACAGTAAGAATGTATCCATCCTCTGTTGTAACTTCATATTCCTCACTGGGGAATCCATGATATCTGATAATTTCACTCTGTAGAAAGCCAAAGGAGAGTTTGTTACCATTCATTTACAGTGTAAATATTAGTGTAGGAATGGTTTGGAGGCTGCTTCTGCCCAGGAATGTGAAGCTAGCCAGGAACATGCCAGGAAGGTAAATGAGATAGCCTGATAAATATTGCTAGCCTTTCTCTACTGCTCTGTGTTGTACTGGTAGGGAGGGACATCAAAAGGGACTCCAGCAGGAAAACAAACCCCAGGTCTCTCTTTTTTGTGGATGATCCTATAGCTGCCCTACTATATCCATGGAGGCTGGAGGATGCAAAGAACAGCAAGAGGAGTTGGGATGTGTTTCTGTGAAGTGGTTTGTGTATTCTACTTAATGCTGTATCACTCTAATTCTGGTAATTGCTGTGGTTGTGGTGCTCAAGCACTACACAGACTTGTAAGAGTAGCAGGATGCAGTAAAGTCTTCTTCAGACCTGTTTAGATGATAGATATTGCCAAATATTTGATCCCCTATTACGGGACAAAGTGAGTGGCTAACCTTTTGGGAGATAGGCGATATCCTGTTTTGCAAAGCTGACACAGGTCTGTAGAGATTCTACCTTGGAATGTGGTCAAACCTGTCAAATAATGTCCTATTTTTCAAGCTACCAGTGGTGGGATGGGAAGGAGCATCACGTACCCTTGTTGGTGTTGAATTACGCTAAAACAGATCTAACACATCATCCCCAAATCAGCATGGTGATAATGAGGCAAAGATCTGGAAAAGATAAACTGCTAAGGCAACCTGGAGTCATAAGATTGACAGTCAATCACTCTGTACTCTGAAAGTCCAGTCCACTTCCATATGGTTTAGTTCTCCTAACATATCCCTTCTTGGAGTGTGTATGAAGATTTCTCCTTTGGGTTGGGATGCCCCTCAAGGTTACTCCTTGAGGCTGAGCAAAAGAGATTTTGGCCATGGTAGCTGGTATGGGTGAGGGTGAGTTACATCAACCTCTACTTTAATAATAGTTTCCTTTTGCTAACTTAACTACAATTGCTTTTATAAGATTGCTTTGATATAATGCACTGTCTTATCTTATGCCAGTAGTTTTAGCTACTGTTCTGTGTAGTAAAAATTTCTGATCAGGATGTTTTGGTCGAATCATTACTAATAATGAATCATTATTTTTTTAATATAAATATATTTGGTTTGCCATGGTTAGTCCTGCAGGACAAAGTTGTAGAATGGTTCAATCACACCTTTATAATTTATATATAATTTCTTTATATAATTTATATATAATTTATATGTAATTTATTTATATAATATATATCTATATAATTTATATATATTATTTATTTAATTTAGCCTTCTGCAGTGAGAGATGGAGGCTAAGACTGGATTCAGCTGCACCCAAGCTCTTCTTTGGGGAGGAGTTCAGAAATCAAGGGGGTCCTTTCAGCACATCATAACTTGACAGAAGGGCTTCTCTTTGAACATTGTCTGAAACTCCCACTCTCCCCCACAAGAAGGTTGTACCTTTCTAGAGTGTAAACATGCATCAGTGTTTCTATCTGGTCCACAGGGAACCTTTTCTTGCCGAGGTGTGGTTAAGCAAGCCATGGAGGGTGGATCTCCTATGACAGACTCACTCACAGCACCACCTACTACACTGCTGCCATGGTGAGGAAACCTTTGGTGATTCAGAGCAAGGGGTTTTTGTTGGGAGAATCTGCTGTTTGGAGAAGGGGTTCAAGCTCCCTTACCACTGTAGTGGGCAAACAGGTTGTCACAGAAGGGCAGGCCTTGAGACTAGAAGCCAGCCTTTCTTTCCACTGGAAAGGAATTCTTCTCTCTAGCTCAGCCTGTTTGGATAAGTGCATCAACATTTCCTTGTGATGCTGGTGTGACCCCTTTGAAGGCAACTTACTTTAGCCTCCCAGTAGGCACTGTTAGTCAGTGCTAGTGGTGCTGGGAGGGAAGCTTTAGGACAAAAGGGAGGGAGGTGACCCAGCTTACAACATTCATGAAGCATTCGGGGTTGCGACTCTTCTTGCAGTGGCTTGTGTCAACAGCTGGAGTGGAGGCTGCTGTGAATCCT